ACGCGCACGTGCACAGAACCCGGCTGTCACTTCCCTCTGGAGGCTGGGAGTGATGGGAGATGGGTCAGCCATGACAGCTGTCCTTTCTCCAACAGCGTGGCCGAGGGGAGCCCAGCTGTGCCAGGGAAGGACAGAGAGAGAACTTCCCTAACGGGAGGGACACGGTCACAGGACTGACAGAATGCCGCCTCCCTCATGGGATCCCTTGTGGAATGCACCACAGGCAAGAAGAATTCAGACGAGGCCGCCCAGGCACTCCTGACCGCCCAGTGCTTTAAACAAGCTCATGCGGGGAAAGCAGGGCGTGGTGCTCACCAAACCCTGGCACGTGCCATCTCTAACCCCGGCGGGCAGTACAACATCGTGGGAAGGGCATGGACTAAAGCCAGACTTCCTTGAGCGTGGCCCCGGGTGCTGGCTGAGAGGGTCCTCGGCGCATTGCAAACCTCTTTGTGCTTCGGTTTCCTCCTCTGTAACATGAACTACTAGTAGCACCTGCCTCGTGGGGCCATCGTGAGGACCCCGTGATCCCAGCCTGGGACATGGTAGCCCCTGGTCAGGATCCGTTAATGTCACTGTTGTCCCCACCGTGCAACCTGATTAACCCAGGGCCAGGGACCCAGGGGCCGAGGGACCCAGGGACCCAGGGACCCAGGGGTCACTAGGGTGACTTTGCCTTTCCCCCAGATACAAGGGGAGAACAGCAAGGCAGTGACTGACCAGAGCACCCAAAGGGTGCCCTGTCCTTGGAACCACCCCGTGTCACCCTCTGGGCTGGTTTCCTGCCTGAGCAAACCACTCAGGCCTCGTTCTTGAACTTGATGGCAGCCGCCCTGTAGCACCCGGGGCCGCAGCTCTGAGGCAGGTCCCGAAGCCATCTGGGGGAACCTTGCGTGCTCTGTGACAATTTAGACGCCTGTCCTCCCTTGCCCTTGAGGTTTAAGATGAAGGTTAGGTCCATCTAAATTAGGCAAAATCATTAGAGTTTCCACTTCCTTTCTCTCCCTCGGAGGGGCTGGGGCAGAGCAGGGTGTCCCCTGGGGCGGGTGTGTGCTCAGCTGCCCAGGCACTGCCGCATGGCCGTGTAGTGGGAGCATCACTTCCCTCTAGGCTGGGCCCTCCATCCCAAATGCTAAAGGTGCCCAGACCCATGGCCACTTTGGCACAAGAGGGCAAGTAATGGTGTGTGTTAATGTGTAGTGGTCACGCAGGACAGCTCAGTCCTGCACGGCGCCAGGGCTCTCCTGCAGAGCAGGGACATGGCCAGCGGAGCCCTGGAGCACTGCAATTGACCTTTGGTGACCTCTGGAAGGAGAGCCCCAAGCTGCAGTCCAGGCAGGAGAGGAAATGGACAAATAGGACAGCGGAGGAGAGAATAGCGCTTGCATTTCTGTCATGTGCCTGGCGCTTTTCATGTTTGCTCATTTCATGCGCAGAGGACCTTTGAGATGGGATTCTGTGGGTGGCAGTGACACTGCTGGTCCCCCATTTTACAGACCGGAAACTGAGGCTCAGGGGCTTGCTGGAAAGGGCAGAGCTGGCCTGAGGATGGTGCTGAGTGCCTCCAGGGCCTCCTGGGAGCAGCAGGGATGCAGGCTCTGCAGGGTGGGCCTGCCTGGGCCGCGGCTGCTCTAAGGAAGGTTTGGCTCCTGGGAGTGGACCGGTCTTTGTAGAGACTCCGGGATGCTGATTGAGCTCCAGGTCCATGGGGCAGTGGGGAAAGATGTAAGCTCTGAACTCAGGCCCCACACTTACATCTCAGCCCCTTGGTAGCTGTGCATCTGGGCAACCTGTCTACCCGCGCCCTCTCTGTGAGGGGCCTCCGAGCTGCCATGCTGGATGGCCTCGAGGACAGAACCAAGCAACGCATGGCAGTGCTCTGCCTGGGGCCTAACTTGGCCAGCAATTGCCCTAATGAAAATGGTGGACACCCTGAGGGCGAGAAGTGGCTGAGTTCTGACCCCTTGACCTTTGTGGCCCTTGGGCCTGACCTGCCTCAGAGAGGGGCAGACAGGGCCAGGTGAGGGGCGAGCTGGTGCTGTGTATGGTGAGGCTGCAGGACAGGGCCAGTCAGAGGGCAGCCCCGGAGCGCCCCGGGGGGCTGCAGGCGGGGCTCAGAGGGGAGGCCTGGGACCAGCCTTCAGTGGTGTGAGGAGAGCACTGGTCACTCCAGCAAATCACAGTGTCCTTTCCTCTGGCCTTCCTCACGCTTCAGGTGGGCCTCAAGGTGGGAGACGGCCGAGATGGAAGCCCGCCTCAGCTCAGCCTGGCCGTCCCGCGGCGGCTCAGGCCCCCTCTGGCAGGGGCCTCTGGGACAGAAGGCCCCCTAGACCAGGGACCAGAGTGCAGAGGCCCCAGGAGGCCTGGTCCCCGCTGCACTGGGTGGCAGCATCTCGGCAGGACTGGAAGTCCTCCGTGGGCGAGAATAGAGGTCATGAGGAGGCTCCTCCCACTCCCACGTGCTGGGTTCCGGGGGGTCCCTTTCTCCTCTCTCCTAAGACAGGGAGGCCTGTCTGTCTGAGCTGGGGAGGAAGCTGTTATTACTGGTTGACTGGCTCTTTGGATGCTGTTGCTGACAGATTCCCACACACTCCAACTCCATTCTCAAGCTCTGGGAGGCCCATGACACACTCTCAAGGGAATGCACTTTGCACCACATGGCCTGCAGTCGTCCACCTGAGACCGAGGTCAGCTGAGCAGCTTCGAGGCCACATGTTACTCACACATGCAGCCCCTGCAGGGACCGCTCCACGGGGAAGCCGCTTACGGGGGTGACATCTCAACAGAGCTCCACACGCTCCATTCTGGGGTGTTGACCCATGTGCCTCTCCTTGCCCTCACCTCTCCATCCACCCTCACCAGCGAGTCGCCCGGCCTGGGAAACAAGTAGAAACTAAGAGGTGTTTGGGCTTCCCCAACACGCTGAACGCAATACAGATTGAGTTGTAGGGCCATGGGTCGGCTGGACTTGGTGAAATGTGGTTTAAACCCTCCAGTGGAAATAAGAACAAGACCCACTGCAGCCGCTGGGAGTGCCGGCACTGTGGGTCTGCCTGAGGGCAGCCTTCTCCTACAGCCTCCTCATCTCTGTATAACCCTGGATGGATGGAGTGAAATCCCCAGAGACAACAAGGAAGGTCGCCCGGCCCAGGCACTGGCCGGCAGGTTCCAGCTGAGATTCCTGGCACAGGCGGAGGAAGGGGCTATTTCCAGACGTGGGGCTTCCCCTTTGCGTAAGGGTCTCTAGGCTTCCTTAGCCTCGGGAACAAAGAAGCGGAAAATCACAAGACACTGGTGAGGATCCATGACCCTCTCTGACTATCCCTGCCTCCTCCACATACCTCCGTTGGGTGCTCACAGAATCTGGGCCCTCTGTCCCCAGCACCCAGCATCCCACCAGCCCCTTCGGCTCCCCTCAGGACAGTTGCTCACACCCCAGTGAGTCCCTGGTCACCAGACAGCAGGCACAATTGTCCCCTCCTACAGACTCAGGGCAGACACTCGCTGGACTCAGGTCACCTGGAGAAGTCTATTTATAAACCATCCTGATAAGCATAATCCGCCCTGCTTAGCCAGGCCGCGCTCCACGGCAAAGCTCCCAGCCAGTGGCAAAGGAACGTTTCCTCTCCAGCCAGACTGGGAGACTGGCCCGAGGGCAGGGGGCTCCAGAGCCAGCCACTGCTCCCGAAGGCGCTAGCTGTCTTAACTGCTAGAACTTTGTATGTGTGCGCGCGCAGGTGCATGTGTGTGTGTGCGTGTGTGTGCGCGTGTGCGTGTGTGTGTGTACCAAAGTTGACTCCTCTCAGGGAGTGCTGTTGTGCAGCAGGAGTCAGCAAACTTTTTCTGTAAAGGGCTGAATAGTAAATAGTTTTGGTTTTGCTGGCCAAATGGCTTGGGCTAGTGTGGCCTTAAACAATATGTAAATGAACGACTGTGGCTGTGTGCCAATAAAACTTTATTTACAAAATCAGACACCCAACCCATAGCTGTGGTCTACCAACCACTTCTGTAAAGGGAACTCAAATGCTGGAAAATGGAACCTCATTTAACATGAACGTTTATTTAATCTACTCTCTAAGATTTCTATACTTAGGGTTTTTTTAAAATACTTCAAATAGAGTTTATTATAATGGGGATAGATGTGCTAAAAAATTGGTCCATAATTTAGTTTTTATAAAAAAATTGCCTTTATTTTTTAGAGAAGTTTTAGGTTCACAGAAAAATTGAGCCATTGGGTGAAACATACAAAAACTTCCCAGGTAGTCCCTGCCCCACCTGCACAGCCTCCTCCGTTATCAACATCCACGGGTGTGTTTTCAAGTCCTAAATAATAATCTTTCTGAGGCTGTCTAGCTGTCCACAGATACTCAGTACTGTTCTTCTCAATCACAAATTCTTCTCCACAAGAAAAAATAAAGATATGATTTTAGATTTGGTCAAGATTTGCTGTGCAGGAGTCTGATCAGAGACCCCAGATTGTGGGGGCCCCGTGATGAGGACACTCATGCTCTCAACGCCACGGCCAGAATGTGAACGGACAGTTGTCCTCTTTGTTGCAGCTGGTGGGATCCTGCCTGGCCCAGGGCTGGGGGACACAGGTAGTCACTCTCCTGCCACAGAGCTTGTGACCATGGGGTCGCCCACATTTGGCAGCACAGCGGCCTGGGCACATCCACAGGCGTGAGCCCACCCACTGAGCCGTGTGGGAGCAGAGTGCCCGGGCAGATGCACGCAAGGATAGTCGCACAAGTCTGTACCATGTACTCTGTAAGGCCTATGCCTCAGGGTCACACAGCTGCCACGCACCCACGGCACACCCGGCACACTGAGAAATGCAGCCCCCAAACGGCCCCTCAGCACCACACCGCTCTGCACGGCACCCTGGCCCCGAACTCCATCCCCAATAACTCCATCCCCAGTACCGCTGGCCAGACCCAACGCTCTGCTGCGGGAGCCCGCGCCCCCGCCTCCTCTAAGGAACCCAAGCGTCTGCATCCTACCTTCCACGCGGGCCGCTTGCTCTTCAGGCCTCCCCGGGAGTGGGAGAGAACCCCGACTTAGCAGCCAAAACTTCGGCCCTTGTGAGCTGGGCCGCCCGGAGGTGCGGTTCCAGACCCAGACCGCTTCTTTCTCACGAGCCTCCCCCTGGGGAAAGTCAGAGAGCAGAACACGGAGCTGGACGCACGGGAAGTGGCCTGGTGAGAGCCGGTGGGGAAACCAAATGTGCTCTCGGTGGGGACGAGGCACACAGTGCGCAGCAACACCCGCGTGGTGTCAAGTAACAGTCAGATTAAACAAACAGCCTCAGCGGCTATTTTTACATCCAGATCAGCCATGGGCAACAGATAACTTGGGGAGCGAGAAATTGCTTGCCACTGAGCTGGACCCTAACATGACTCCAACTTCAATCCAGAATGATCTGTAAACAGTTCCAGCACCCAAATAAAAACACCCCAGGGGCAAAGGAAAACCCTGTGTAGGGAACAGTGAAGACCCAGAGCTGTGCCTGGGAACCTGCGCCCGGCCGGCTGATGCCCCGGGCAGAAATAGCGCCTTTCATCATCGCTCAGAGGCCACGGGCCGCATTCCTCGAGTTAGGAGCTGCGCTCTGTTGTGCTTTTGGAGCAAAATAACATAACATGCCCAGCTGTAGGCTGGGGAAGGCGGGGCCGGGTGTCAGGGGCAGAGCCGCAGAAGAGTGTGAAATACAGTCAGGAAAGAGGCAAGGTCGGCTCCCACCCGGCCAGCCCGGCCCTGGCAGGCCCAGCTGTTTGCAAGGTCCAAGTGGGGTGACAGGTCCCCTCTACCTGGTGAGTCCTCTCTCTCCATCCCCGGGAGGAGCTGGCCCCGTGGCCATTTTTGTCTTGGTGGGGGGTTATGTGCCCACAGGCTGCCTGCAGCCCCCAGATCTTTCAGCCTCTGTGTCTTTGCTCATGTGGTGCCATCTGTCCTTCTCACCCTCCCCAAACTGGCCTGTGAAAGTCTGCTTACTGCCAGGAGTTAAAGTGAGAGTTTCTTTCTTTCCAAGAGCCCTTTCTGACACTGCCTGGTCCCCTGGCCTGGGAACGGCGAGGTGCCCAGTCCCCGTGACTGCCCTCGGGCCCCTCATGGCCAGCCACCCCTGTCCAAGTCCCAGCCTGGCACCACCCCCAGCCTTGAACCTGCTAGTGGTTAGGGTCACAGGGACTGGGTCTATGTACTTCACTTAGAACAGTCAGAAAGAGGAGCTCCTTGTTGCCACGCAGAGGGAGTATCAGATCCCACCAGCAGGAGTACTCACCACCACCACCCCGCCCCTTTCTTGGAGCCTCACAACTTGCCTTTTGCCCTGAGAACTTAGGACCACCTGCTCACTGATCAGCACTCAGAGACGGTCTGAGGGACGCCCAGCATAAACCCCTTGATGTTACCCACTCCTCCAACCCCTTTGTTTGTCAAAACTAACACTAGCCAACCTGGCAGATGACGAGCATCAGCTTGAGACAAGCCAGCAGTAGGAACGCACAACAGAGCGTAGGATTTGGAGCCCTGGCCCCTGGTACTTTTAGCTGCTTGACACGAGCAAAATCACTCCACCTCTCTGTGCCCAGTCACTCATCTCTAAGATGGACAGACTGCTTGTGCTCTGTAGGGTTGAAGTGCAAATGGGTTCGCGTACACTGATATGTGTGTATATTACAAAGCTGCTCCAACGGCAGTTGTTTGCTATTTTTTTTCATGGTTTTTGTCACATCTTCAATCATCTGAACCAATGCCTGCTTACTATTTTGTTTAAGTAAGAAATTTTACAAACACAGCTTCATGGCAAACAACAGTACCTGCGAAACCATGGATTTGATGTTCTAGTCGAATTTTTCCATATTACATGTGAAAACAAATTTATAGGCAGCTCATATGCTGTCTGATTTGAGCCAGTCATGTTGTTGAGACTCTGGGAAATGCTGCATTACTCAATCTCATTTTATGGGGGAGTTTGCTTTGGGGCAGGAGTAGCATTAGCTGTCCCCTCCCACTCCTCAGCACCGTCCTTCCCAGCTTACTTTTCGTTCTGGCACGTGGAGAGCATGGCCTCGTGTCCGTGTAGGATCCTAGGAGCCGCGAGCTCTGCTGTGCAGCAGGACTGATGGCTTTTGCATGAAGCTGACGGAGCAGAGAAAGCCCTGAGGATGACCTGGGGGCATTCAGGAGCTGAGCAGCTTTGTCAGGGACCCCAGAGGAGGGGTTGAGAGCAGCGAAACACAGGTGACCTGGCAAAGGTTTGTCCTGGGCTCAGGAGTTCTCAGAGCGCAGCTCCGCCCGCCCGTCCTACAACTGACTGCTGCACAGCCTGGAGCCTCCGGGAGCGGGCCCCCTCCTGCCCTGGGCCCCCTCCTGCCCCGGGCCCCCTCCTGCCCTGGGCCCCCTCCTGCCCTCGGCCTGGACCCCACGTGCGGTTGGGTCGTGGTGGGTGCACTGGTGCTGACCACTCCAGCAAAAGCAAAGCCTGAGAACTCAGCCCAAGCTCCGGACCAGGAGCTCAGCGTGCCTGTGGGCCTGAGCTGACATCTCTCCAGGGGACGGCCGGGCGGAGCAGCCGCTGTCTCCAGCCCAGGAGCCGTGAGCCGCGCGGAAAGAATGTGAATGAAGACACGATTCTAAATGTGGAACCACGGACGCTATGTGAGCCGTTCCCCACATCCAGAACAAGGCCGTGGACATTCTGCAGGAGCATAAATAAAGCTGTCCTCAGGCGGCGTGCTGCGCCTCCCGCCGGCCGTGACCTCGCCGCCCGCTCCCGGAGCAGCGGGATCGCAGTGGGCGCTGCCCGGCCTCGCTGTGGATGACAGGGGCTGCCGCCCCCGGACGCCGGGATGCGTGCCAGCGCCACCGCAGCGTCTCTCTGTTCCGCGCGTGGATCTTACACACGCTCAGACGCCGGCAGCGAGGGCAAGGCCAGGTCCTGGTCCTGGGCGCCTGAAGCTCACGTCCCTGCACAGACCCCGGGGCCCCTGCGGAGTCCCGCTGGGGACGGGTCCTCGGGCCTGCTTGCCAGGAGCCCGGAGGCTGTCACTGGTGCTCCGCCTCCTTCGGAGAGTTCCGTAAACCTCCTCCCGAGGCTGGCGCGTTTCCCGAGCTTAACAACAATGACGACGACATCCTGACAAGGCTGTAGCTGACATGGAAACCGGTGTTCTGTGCCGAACTGCTCGGAGCGTTCCTTTAATGAGCCCTCACGCCGCACACGGTACCTCCCGCCGGGGCCATTTCACTCCAGCCCCGCGATCCCTCCGCACAGGCAGCCGGGCTTTGTGCCGGCACCACCTGCGCTTTCTTTCACCAAAGCCTCAAGTGCCCTTGCAGACTGGCTACTTGTGCCCCCTCTTTACAGATGAGGAAACTGAGGCTGGCGGAGGTCCTGGAGGCCACAGTGGCACTGAGGGTGTAGGCCGGGGTTTGTCTGCCTGCCCGTCTGGCCTGTTGCGCCCCCCCCCCCACCCCGCCCCTCGCTAACCACTCTCCAGCCCAGGCCCAGGGAACACAACCTCCTGTCTCCCGCCTGTTCTCTTTGCCTCCCTCTGGCGAGAGAACAGAGTCAGGCCAGGGCAGCTCCTTAGCGACTGCTTTGTTGTGGGAACCGAGGCCCTTCTGCAGCTGGGTGTCAGCACAGTGAGCCCGGACTCAGGGCTGGCAGGATGGCGCCGCTGCAGGTGCTTCTGAAGCTCAGGCCCCACTGGGCCACCTGCTGAGGGGCCGGAGCCATTGCGCTCCTCCTTCAGGTGGTTTGGCCCCTTGGCTGCAGGACAATGTGTGTCCAGTGCTGAGCTCAGAGGGGCTGGATTTAGGTGTGGTGGTGGTGATGGTGGTTCCTGTTTGCAGCTCATGTTAGAGAGCAGCCCACCAGCCTAGGTTACGGTGCCTTTTCTAGGCTGCTGCTCTCCCCGTCTGACCAGCCTGGCGCCAGGAGGCCGCTATCCAGTCAACAGAGGGTCACCCAGACCAGTGGCTCTCCTTAAGGCGTCCTGTCAGGAGTCTTTGCTTAGAAGTTTAATTTAAATGAAAAAAACAGAGCCTGTGCTGTGAAAGGAAGTAAACCCCGTTTATTAAAACGCTGCTGAGCACTAACAAAATCAAGGCGGCCAGCTGGGAGGTTGAGCACCAGCTGGTCCAGTGTCTACTTAAGTCAGCCCTGAAGAAGGGAGGGACCTAGAACCCCAAACCAGGAGGAGGGGTCTAGAACCCCAAGCCAGGAGGAGGGACCTAGAACCCCAAGCCAGGAGGAGGGATCTAGAACTCCAAGCCAGGAGGAGGGATCTAGAACCCTGAGCCAGGAGGCGAGATCCAGGATCCTGAGCCAGGAGGAGGGGTCTAGAACCCTGAGCCAGGAGGCGAGATCCAGGATCCTGAGCCAGGAGGAGGGGTCTAGAACCCCAAGCCAGGAGGAGAGATCCAGGATCCTGGGCCAGGAGGAGGGATCTAGGACCCTGAGCCAGGAGGAGAGATTTAGAACCCTGAGTCAGGAGGAGGGATCTAGACTCCTGAGTCAGGAGGATCTGGAGGTGTGCTCTGCTCTCTAGACTCAGGTCAGCACTGTTTCCTGTAAAAGGCTGGGGTCAGTTTCAGCTTTGCAGTTGAGACCATCTGTTTCACAGCGTAGCAGCTGGGCCATGGAAAGTGGTCAGAAGATTTAGGACCAATGGGTGTGGTGTGTTCCAATCAAATTCTGTTTATGGACACATTCGCATTTCATAATTTTCACATTCACAAAATAGCCTTCTTTTGATTTACTCCCAACTATTTGTTTATTTATTTATTTAACTAGAGGCCCGGTGCACAAAAATTTGTGCACTCGGGGGGAAGGGGGGGCTCCCTCAGCCTGGCCTGTGCCCTCTCGCAGTCTGGGACCCCTTGGGAGATAACGCCCTGCTGGCTTAGGCCTGCTCCCGGGTGGCAGAGGGCAGGCCCAATCCCTAGGTGCAGCTCCTGGTCGGGCTCAGAGCAGGGCCGATTGGGGAGTTGGGACTCCGCCCCCTGTCATGCACAGAGCAGGGCGGATTGGGAGGTTGCGATGCCACCCTCAGTCACGCTCAGCATAGGGCCAATTGGGGGGTTGGGGCACCGCCCCCTGTCACACTCAAGGCAGGGTCAATGGGGAGGTTGTGGCGCCACCCCCTGTCACGCACAGAGCAGGGCCAATCAGGGGGGTTGGGGAGCTCCCCCCTGTCACGCACAGAGCAGGGCCCATCAGGGGGTTGGGGAGCTCCCCCCTGTCATGCACAGAGCAGGACCCATCAGGGGGTTGGGGAGCTCCACCCTGTCACACACAGAGCAGGGCGCATCAGGGGTTGGGGAGCTCCCCCCTGTCACGCACAGAGCAGGGCAGATCAGGGGGTTGGGGCACCACCCTCTATCACCCACAGAGCAGGGCCGATCAGGGGGTTGGGGCGCCGCCACTCTCACACTCAGGGCAGGGCCGATGGGGAGGTTATGGCTCTACCCCATCACACACAGAGCAGGGCCCGTGGGGTGGGGGGGTTGGGGCGCCGCAGCCTGTCACACACAGAGCCGCAGGATGATCAGGAGGTTGGGGAGCTCCCCCCTATCAGGCACAGAGCAGAGCCGATCAGGGGGTTGGGGTACCTTCCCCTGTCACGAACAGAGCAGGGCCGATAGGGAGGTTGTGGCCCCACCCCCTGTCACACACAGAGCCGCAGGGCGATCAGGGGGTTTGGGCGCTGCCCCCTGTCACGCTGATGGCGGTGCCGGGAGGCCTCGCGGCTCCGCTGATCCCGGTGCTGGGAGGCATATTACCCTTTTACTATATAGGCTAGAGGCCTGGTGCAGGGGTGGGTGCCGGCTGGTTTGCCCTGAAGGGTGTCCTGGATCAGGGTGGGGGTCCCCACTGGGGTGCCTGGACAGCCTGGATGAGGGGATGATGGCTGTTTGCAGCTGGTCACACACCCTTCAGGGTGGGGGTCCCCACTGGGGTGCCTGGCCAGTCTGGGTGAGGGGCTGAGGGCTGTTTTCAGGCTGTGGGTGACTGAAGCTCCCAACTGCTCCTTTTTTTCTTTTCTTTTTTTTTTTATTCTGGGCCAGCTTTAGCTCTGAGGCTTGGCTCCAGCTCTGAGGCCTCAGCTGCTGAAAGCAGGTATCTGGTTTGTTTGGGTTCTATAATCAAAACAATGTATAACTCCAGCTCTGAGATCCCGGCTCACTGAAAGCAGGTTTCTGGGATTTTGTTTAGCTTCTATATTTGTAACTATGTCTCAAACTGCAGGCTTAGAGGCCGGCAAGGCAGGCAGGGAACATTGGTTTTCTCCGTCACTGAAGCAAGCAAGCCTCATGTTAGTTTCAAGCTGCCTGGCTGCCGGCCGCCATCTTGGCTGGCAGTTAATTTGCATATCGCCCTGATTAGCCAATGGGAAGGGTAGCGGTTGTACGCTTATTACCATGTTTCTCTTTTATTAGATAGGATCCTCACCTGAGGATATTTTTCCATTGATTTTAGTGAGAGTGAAAGAGAGGGAAAGACAGAGAGAAACATCGATGTGATTGGTTGCCTCTTGCACGCGCCTGACCAGGGTCTGGGATGGGGAGGAGCCTGCAACCGAGGTATGTGCCCCTGACCAGAATCGAACCCGGATCCTTCAGTCTGCAGGCCGAAGCTCTATCTACTGAGCCAAATCGTCTGGGACCGGTTTGATTTACCCCCAACTATGTGAAAAACATTCTTAACTTAGGAGGCTGTACAGAAACAGCAGGTAGGATGGACTTAGCTCAGGGACCCTAGTGTGCCTGCCTCTAAGTCACCCTGCCCACTCCCATCACCACCGAGCCCATGTGGATAGTGAGCACTTGAACCCTGTCTAGTCTGGATTGGACTGTGCTGTACGGGTCACACACAGCCAGGGTTTTTAGGTAGTACGGAGATAAAGAAGGTAAAACATCTCCCAGTATTCCGTGTTGAATATTACATTGAATCTGTGTTGACATGATAATGCTTTGGATATTTAAATAAAATATATGACTAAGATTGTTTTCACATGTTTCTTTTTACTTTTTAATGTGGCTACCATCAAATTTAAAATGGCACGTGGCTCTCACTGTATTTCTATTGGACAGCACAAGACTGGCTCTTCTCCCGGACACGGACCCTCCCTCACTCCCACTGAGTCCAGGAGGCCGATGTGCTCGTGGCGAAATGGCTCAGCTTCTCCACTGCCAGCTGCGCGGAGTTCAGATGTTAAGCAGGGACTTGTGTTCCTAGATCACCAGCACTGACGCTCTTACTTGCTGCTGCCTTTATCTATAAAACGTCGGACCTTAAGAAATCAGGCCGTCTGCTAATGAAGTAAAATTGGTGACAGCTACCATTTTTCAAGCACCATCTAGAAGATGCTGGGCTAGCTGTCTTACACGCAGTGTGGACTTTGAGTCTCACAACTGTCCTGGGAGGGAGCCATTCCTATCTTCACTTTCTTGCAGAACAAGGTCAAAGAGGTGAAATCCCTTGTCCAAAATTATGTCATTGGCGGCAGAGTTGCTTTCAAAGTCAGGTCTCCCTGCCTCCCTAGACCGGGAGTGCCATAATCGCTAAGTTGCCCATGGAAACAAGGCCTTCTTGGGAGAACTGCTTCTCCCTCCAGAGCGCAGGTGGGGGTGGGGGCACCACGCACAGCAGCCTGGCTGTGTGCAGCGGGGATCTTGATGCAGGGCTGGAGTGCAGAGCCCAAGTGTGCCCTTTGCTGCCCGCACCCAGCAGCAGCTGGAGAGGAGGCTAGTGTTTACCTGCCCCACACCCGCCTCTGACACGGGCGGAGCAGGATTGTTTTGAGCTCAGAGACGCACCAAGGTAACAGCCACATTTCTCACAAGGGCTCCAGCTGCACTGGAGGCCCTCCTCGCTCCTTTTCATGCAGCAGCTCTGGCCTGCCCCAGGGCCTTTGCGCATGCTGGCACTCTGCTTGGAGCACTCTGACCCTGATCGTTACCCGGCTGCTCCCTTCACCCCATTCAACCATTAGCACCAGTGTCACTTCCTCAGGGAGGCCTTTCCTGCCCATCCCATCTAAAGACCCTCACCCCACCTCCCAGGTGTCAGCTAACACGCCATCCTGCTTACATCCCTCCTGACACTGACACTACAGGAACCATCTCACTCCTTTGATCACGGGTTGATGCTCCCCGAATGCAAGCTCAAGCGGGCTCTGCTTTGTCTGCCCTGCTCTCCCCTGCACCTAGTGTATGCCAATGAGTGGTGGGGAGTCCTCCAGGTGGGGGGTGCCTTACTGCCCTGCATCTCTCCCTGCCATCATGGACTCAGAGTGTTGGGCTGGCTCAGAGCAGCGGTCCTGGAGCCGTCGGGGGACTGGTGCCGACAGATGGCTGGGCCCTCAGACGGTGCGTTTCTGACGCGGTCCCCGGCGGGGCTTATGCTGCAGTGCAAGGACCGCACAGAGAGAAGAAAGAGCTGCGACTGGACAGCGGGCTGACTCCATCCTCCCGCTCTCGCTGCAGATCACTTACTGGGAGGCGCTGCTCAGGGGCGCTTCCTCCTCACGTTGATACAACACGTGTTTCCTGCACTCTCTGCGGCTCAGGCACCGCCCGCCGTGCTTCCTGCGTCTCCGAGGTGCATTTACAGTCAAGGGGCTGAGCAAGGTCAAGGAACAGGGAGAAAGTAAGGCTGGGCCTGGATTTAGGGACATGGCACGCAGCCCAGCAGGAGGAGCGCTCCCCGCTGCCCTCTGAGCTCCTGGGAGCAGAAGCCCTCAGATATGGGCCATGGGTGCCAGGTAGACCCAGCATCTATTTCCACTTGTGTCTGTGTGATGCTTGGTGGAGCCGCCCAGAACACCAGGAGGCACAGCCAGGAGAGTCTGTGTAGCCGAGTGGCTAAGATTGTGGGTTTTGGCCTCAGAGATGTAAGGTCTCCATTCCCAGACCTACCACACACCGCGGTGATGCCTTCAGCATGTGACCTGATTTCCTGAACTTCAGTTTGGTAGTCCCTTCAAGTGACTGTTGTAGATGCTGAAATGAGATGATGCAAGTGCTTAGCACAGGTAGCTGCACCCAGACAGTACGAGAGGCCAGCGAGCTATCTGCCAGGCCCCTGGCTGCTGTGCTGCCTCGGCACTGGGAGGAGGCAAAGCAGGTCTGCAGTGACGGGAAACCGGAGTTTGGGGTGAGGCGGCGAGCAGAGGACCGGAAGCGGGGCTGCTCCTCGGGGTGGCGCGCCGGCACGAGAAAGGGGTCTTCCCCATCCTCACAGTGAGTCACGTGTGCACTCGGGTGTACTGGCTTATATTAAAGGGAAATAATAGAAGAAAAAAGCGAAAACCAGAAGCTGTAGCCCATGGGGACAGGAAAGCACAGGGGCTGGGGAGGAGCCCCTCTTCTCTGCATTGTCCTGGTTTGGTAGTTTGATGTGGAGCCATGTCAGTGCCCCACGGAATTAAATAAAACAATTTAAATAGAGGGCCCTGAAAGTTAAGAGCAAAATGAAACAAATGAACTTAATATGTAGGTGGCATGATTGCACAGAGGGGACTTACTAATTTGACTCAACTTCTATAAGGACATCTACCCTAACACACAATTAACTATAAAGGAAGCTGTTCTCAGAAATAGATAGATACAGATATAGCACATTAGTAAGTATGTGGATACCATTAGCAAGTGTTAAAGAGATGCAAATAGACCATCCAAATGGTAAGTAAAACCTGTTCCTTGTATATTTGAATATCAATATACTTATATTTTAATATCAATATGTAAGGTAAAGGTAGTGTATAAAATCAAACATAAAAATATCAAATATAGTGCAAACTCGATCACTAGCTCTGCTTGATGTTGCAGACGTGAAGGGAACGAGGCTTGCTAAAGTAATTGTGGTGATAGAAATTTATTAGCCTCAGAAGCTACTGAGGCGGTTTCTTCTATCCCAGGACAGTGTAAAATAAAAAAAAATCAAATATAAGAGACAAGTATAAGATATACTTTATCTTAGAAAAAGAAAAGTATTTCCTACTGGAAGTTCTTGCAACAATAACCAATGTAATAGCAATGACCCTCCTTTGCACCTAGATTTTGTCTCTGAGCCCAATTTCTCTTCCTGACCCGGAGGAGAGTTTAGAAGCCCTGCCACAGCCAAAGGGAGGCCGACTAAGAAGAACCGCATGGAAACCGAGAACTGAGGAGCCAGCCTGAATTTCCCACCAGAGAGCGAAGGAGCAGTGTGTCCATCAGCAGGAATGAACCCTGGAGGGCTGACATCCACGAGCCCGTAATGATGCTGGGAAAACGCACAGCGGAACAGCCCTCGTGTCCGCGGCGGACCAGGTGCTCCCGGTGGAAGAGGCGCAGGGCCGTAGCTCACCCGGCTGTCCTGCGCGCACCGCACCAGGAGCCGAGACAAGGAGGAGGCAGATTTCTCGGATAAAGGGTAAAACTAGAATATTGTCTTTTTTCAAATGCCTGACAATGTGCTTCTGGCCTTGGGTCGCACTCCCAGATCTCAGGAAGAGCCAGGAAGACGGGACGGGAATGACTCCGCGAGGCCCGGCAACTCGGCAGCACCAGCAAGCGATGTCTTCAACCACCACGGTGCTCACATGGAGGCCGAGGACCTGCCTCATCTGAAGACACTGAAGAGGCACCTCAACTCACAGCCACTATACTCTCTGCATTCTGATGCCAACGCCCACCTGTGGCAAACCCTTATAAGGTGACTCATATCTTCCTGGGCCTGGGAAGATAGTTGGGAATCACCGCCTAGGTCTTAGGTGTGCTAGTCGTATGCTGACAAAGGGAGCTTGCTATTTAGAAAGACCTACACCACTAGTTAGGAATGGAATAACATGATATCTGGGACTTACTTCTAAGTAATGCAGCGTGTGGGGAAAGGGTTGGAGTATATGAAACAAGATTTCTAAAATTGGGCATTTGTTACACTATCTTCTGAACTTTTGTATAGATTAGAAATGCTCCATGATTGTGACAGAGCGCTCCTTGGGGCACGATGGAGGGAAAGGCGGGTGAGAGTGACCGAGGGCTGGGAGTCCCAGCGAAGGAGAGGGACAGGGAGGGGGCCTGTGAGGGAGAGGCGGGGTCTGGCCTGTCTGCCTGTCCCTGAGACTCCAGTCTGTCTGGTGACCTCACTTGGGGTTATTTGATATAAAGTGGTTTCAAGGAGGCCAACATCTCTATGAATATTGGCAGGAACGCAAAACATCAGAAACAACGTCTAATTTCTGAGGCTATGCTTAACAAAAAATGAGAACAGAAGAAAACATCTACAGCAGAGGAACCATGTAAAAATGGAGTTTATATATTGATGGAAAAATGTGTCCATTCATGGAAAGATAAAAAAGTAAAATGCAGTTTTGTGGGGGGGAAAAAGGCCTTAAATATATCACCAAACATTAGGTAAAAGCATACCTAAACTCAACAGATACTGTTTTGTAAGCAGTGTGCATGTGTGTGTTTCTGTGTGGGCATGTGTGTCTGTGTGTGTCCGTGTGTGCCTGTGTGCACGCGCATGCGCGCACATGTGTGTGTGTGCATGCATGTGTGTGCGTGTGTGACTGTGTGTGCGCATGTGCGTGTGTGCGCGCGCGCGCGCGTGTGCGTGTTGGTTTTGCCGTTTGGGGAAACGGTAAAGCATTTCCCACTGAGATGACTGGTGGCAGGTGGAGCAGAGCGGCTCCTCTCCGACAGGAGGTTACAGTTGGACCAACTCGCAGAGAAACCCGAGCCCCGAGCAGTGGCGGTGCTCCTGCCCTGCCTCCCGCCGGGCTGGGCGAAGGTGCGCGCTGGTTTAGCCGTGACGCTAACACCTTGGCATGGCTGTGGGTTGGTGGGGCTAAAAATACCCGGTGGACTGGAGTTTCTCCAGAAAACCGAGAGGTGTCCACTTTCTCCCCAGGGCCGGGGTCACGCCCCCGGCCAGCGCTGACATGGGGACTGTGTCAGGGGCAGTGCTCCCTGGAAACCCCGCACACCCCAGGCCCCTGGAGAGGCACTGTCTCTGCACCAGAGCGCAGCCACCTAGGCCCCCGGGAAGGCGGTGCTCGCCGCTCTGGATGGGCTGCCCAACCACATCCCTCTCATCCTAGGGGGGTGGGGTGGGGAGATCCCCACCGGGAGTTAGATCTGCGGGGTCCGCAACCTCGGTACTTGAGTTCTGGCTGGGAAAGAAGTCAGAGCCAAGACTCACACTGTGAGAGAAGTTGATTTAGAAAGTCACAGAGAAGTGAGCAGCAGCAGAAATGGAAACACGTCACAGAGGCAAAAGAAGGCCCGGTGCTTAGGAGGAAGAGCGAGGCCAGGAAAACGTGTCTGTGGGGGGGAAGCAGGGGAGCTGGGGCGCTCCTGGGAGGGAGAGCTTGCTGGGTCCTCCTAAGTCCTAGGGCCTTTAAGAGTGGGGAGTTAGGGCGGTCCCAGGGGTGCACCTTAATAGAAGATTCATCAGCGTCCAGGGTGCCGTCCAGGCTGCTGGTCACTGAGTGGTCGGATTGGTCAGTGGGGCGGGTCCTGAGCTCAGCCAGGTGTGGCTTGTTGGTTTTGCTGCTTCTCTGGGCCTGGAGCTGAAGACAGCTGAGGCCTAGAAGTGATCTCCAGGGAGGAAAGGTTGGGGGTCCGAATTGCATGACCAGTGATATGAAAGGTCAGGGGTCTGCACTGCAGGAGCAGCGATACCCTGGGGAGGAGAGGTCTCGCTGGGCGCGAGGTCCTGTTTTCCCAGTTTTGCCTGTTGCCAGGCGCCCGGGCTTTCTGCCCTGGTGACTGTACCTGGCCCGTGGTCCTTGCTCTGCTCACATCTGTCTACCTGCCCCCCACAGTCCCATCAGAGCTCTGGCCTCTGGTGGGGAAACGGGATCTCCAGACACCTCCCTGCATATCGGCTCCCCTAGAGGGGGCTCCATCTAGCTCCCTGGTCCAGTGTCAGGGCACAGAGTGGGACAGGCGCCCAGTGGGCCTGCGGCCGGCTCAGGGCCTGCCCAGGTTGGAAGAGAGCCAGCGTGTTCTCAGATGAGGAGCTTTGCAAGTCACCTTCTCACCAGGTTTGCTCTCTGACGTCCAATCCCAAAGCCCCAAGATCAGCTCTGCTCCCGGGGCCAGACTTCAGGGAGCCGAGACTGTCACATGCCCCCTGGAACCCGAGAGCACCGTGCCAGTGGCATGAAGGGTGCTGTCTGGTTGGCAGAGGGCTCCTCATCGCCTTGGGGGCACTCCTTTCATGGAGCCTCTGAGGAGGGCGCGGCAGCCTCGCCATCCTCCACTTCCCAGCAGAGGGAGCAGGGCCTGGGGACTCAAGGAGTCACAGCCCATCAGAGAGCCAGTGCCAGCCTCACCGAGGTGCCCAAGCACGAGAGCAGGGCTTTCTGGCGGGTTCCTGGCCTCCCTGGAGGGGCCAGCACATACTTTTGCTTACACATCCCTGGCTCTCTGCTCAGGGCCTTGGATTTGCCCAGTGCAGCCCACACCAGAGGAGGCCCAAAAGGCTGCAGGACGGTTTTGTTCTAAAATAACCTGGATTGGGTAGCAGTGCAAAAACCAAGATATTTTGTGTAATAGCATTTCTGGCTCTGCTAATAGAAGGTGGGATACCACGGGGTGGCATCCTGCTTGGGGATGGAGCGGGGGCTTCAGACAGGGCGCACCCTTTTGCTGGCCACCAGCTATTTCACTCTGTGCATAAGCTGCCAGGACTTCGGACTTCGGATTTGCAGTTCATTCTAAGCGGGGTGGTGAGGCTGTTAAAGATGCATAGCTGACCCGCCTCAATGTCTCCCGCAAGCCAGTGGGAGGGCTTCGCCCTGAACCCGTGGCCCCGCCACCCTCCGTGCCATTGGACACCCTCAGACGCTTGGGGAAGTGGGTGCCACGTGGAGCTGAGCCGAGCATGGAGGGGCATAAACCAGGAGGCGCTGTGCTGGCATCAATCCTACATCGGGCTTATCTTCAGAAGCATTACCTGCTGTGAGCAGATACGTCTTCGTGAAATATGAAATCCACCCAAATTTATTAAAACCGCTGGCACAGTGGGAACTCAAGCCGAGCAGCTCTCCATTAGAGCCTCGTTGTTACGATGGCATTATTTATTTATATCCCAGCCTAGGACAGACATGATGTAATCCAGTAATTAAGACTGTTATGATTGAATATTTATTAAGCACCTACAATAAGCCAGTCACTGATCCACATAAAATGAGTCTTTACCCTCAAGAGCTCCCATCTCGATGCCATGGGGAGCTCAGTGCCCCTCACGGGAGCGGGGGGAGTTTAATGGGTTCTGTCTTCCCTGAGCAAGCCTGAGAAATGACACTGATCAAAAATTGGACCCAGTTTAGTGTCGCTGTTCAATCCGAATAAAATGAAAACAATCCATCCCAGGCTGAGACGGAGATGGGCGTGCGGAGGCCGGTGTCCGCAAATGCCTGCCATGGGGAGGGCGGGGGGGAGCCAGGCCTCCCAGAAGCCAGGTGGACAGGGCCACGACCCCTCGGGTCCCCCGGGCAAAAGGCGCGGGCAGCTTGCTCTGCTGTGTGAACTCACCCCCAGGCCCCCATGGTGGTTCCTTTGTACGTCTCAGAAAACTGGTGCTGCTCTGACAGGTCGCAAGCCCAGACTTGCTGGGTCCCTGCTGTGGGCCAGGGCGGGGGCTGCGCTGGGCGCACACAGCCTCCTTCAGGCACCGGCCCAGACCAGACCCCGCAGGGAGCCTCCTTCTGCCGGCTCCAGGGCTCCCAACACCTGGGATAGCGCCGGCTTCTCTCCCGCTGGCTCTGGGCCAGGCCTCTTCCTTCGCTGCCACCGGGCTGCTCCTCCCGGAAAGGACCCGCTGGGCCTGAGCTCAGCAGGTGGAGCCCGCACGCCAGCCCGCTCTTCCCGCCCCAGGCCTGGCAGCTGCTCGTACAGTGAGAGGAACGCAGTGAGTGGGAACCCGAAGG